GACAAGTGTGGGTTTGTCTGGAGCGGCCGACTGGGCAACTGAGAGTCAGGCTGCAACGAATCCTAATTCATTTGGTTCGTGGGATCGAACCCGGTGTGTCAGCACGCTTAGGGGCGGCTCAGGCTACGCCCCCTCCCGTCTCTGATCTTATTTATTTGGTCATGACTACGGATCCACGCAAATATTCTCTCACTATAAGCTCATTCACGTGCAGGACATCGTTCTTCGGAAGTATTGCAGTGGTACAGACAGTGGATCCATGACGGTTGAACTGTCGTTTATCAAATTACTCACCCCTCGGGGGTCAACTTTCTAATTCGCTTGTTTCAGAAAACAGAGACCCAATTACTGGAGATAGTGGCACCTAGAGCACTGTGGCAGTTTCCACTGGATGATGCATTAACATCATTAGTCCTGCAGGAGTCCGCCGCTCAGCGCAACTAAGCGTGCCTCATCTTGCCTTCCCACTGTCACACATTATCATTGACGTCACACGCTATCGGCCTTTCTAACGCTTTTGATTCACTCGCTGCTTGCTAAGCGTATAAGCCCCAAGGCAAGCGATAGTTCCGCTTTATTTGATTGTTTGCAGACGGCAGAGTACGCATCACGCAGACAAAGCAATACAACAACACACAACTTCAAGGAAACATCTGGTGTGCTGACCTGGACCCTAACACAGCCTTTGTACCGTTCATTTGGCGGCAGTAAAGCTCTGTCCACCAACACTGTCTTGCCTGACTTTTGATCTGGGGGATCCTTCTGATGTGAATACATATACTAGCTGACGATAGTATGTCCGGCGCAAATATGCGCATGGAAATGACTTTTAACACTTCCTAAAGTTCCAAGGTGGGAGAATAATTGAGATATCTACCGAAGATTTTTAATTAATGCTACGGCTGGCGTTTACGGTAAACTTTTGTACTGTCTGCCTCACTGACGCTCAACGACGCAGCCAATCTGGTCAGATACCACCAGGGCTTGTTCACTTTGGCCAACATAAGACAGTTCTTCTAATTCCTACGCGCTTCAATTTTCCAAATATGACGTTTCCTCCAGGTAGCGGCGGTTCAAACACATACAGAGAAGACACTGTCCCGCACAACAACCTCCAAATTGTAGCGCGCAGCATGACAGCAGCAAAAGGGTAAAGTGCGTGTACATTAGTTTGCAATGACAGCAGACTTGCGCGGCATCTTACTCTGTAGTAAGACTGAGTCAAGAAGAACTGGTGAGCAGAGACAAATGGCCCGTCTACGCGTGCCACACACGACCTGGTCACTGATGCACCGCACCAGTTTGTCCCAAAGGGAGGCAAACATGATAACAGAACACCTCTCAAATCTACGTTGTTCCTCCGCCGACAAAGGAACCATTTCAAAAAAACTCACCGCCGCCTACGCCAGCCATCTTTTTGTACACGAGAGCGACGGGTTCCCTGCGCCTGTCCACGGGGTAGAAGATGGCGGCTGCGTTTTCCCCATTCAGTTTGCCACGTATAATAGCGTACTGTCGGCCTAAAAGGAGAAATTTGAAACACCAACAGAAGCGGATATATCAACAGCTGGGCAAATGCTAGAAGGGCACACCACCGCAAACAAAGACATTCTTAACCTACGGCTGACAAGTTGCCAACAGAAATTTGGTGCCTTGCAGGGTGCTTCATTAGCGCCAATGGACATTTGGACAGTTGTTGTGACATCCTAAAATGAAAGACCAAATCTTCGAAAGGGGGATCCTGCAAATGCGGTATGGACTGGATTCGTCGTCCAGGTCACTCACCGTTATTTCTTCCTCGGCATCGAAGTAAACGTACATGTCGTTGTTTTGCGGACATTCTATGTTAGCCAAACAGCCTAAAATACAAGGAGGGTTCCATTAAGAGGTTTAGGCGCTAATTCAAGCTGTGCCTACTTCAATCACAGTTTTGGGGAAGTACAGGGGGAAAATGGTGTGTCACATGAGATATTAATCCAAATTCAGAAACTAATGAGCAATAGTAGTTTATGTAGTGCACCTCATATACCCCCTAGTCCTAGCATCTTTTCCTATGGAAACGGTGATTATAGGGTTCTTGGGGTGGTTATTTAGGATAGGCAGGTAAGGAAATTTTTACAGTTAAGGGTAAAGTAAAAAAATGTAGTCGAATTTGTTTCTCGCGGCCGCCGGGAGTAAATTTTTCCGCATGTAAATTGAAGGTCTCCGCGGCGAGAAGCGTCGCGGACTATCTTTATCTAACTTTAGAATGGTAAGTTTGACCACT